ATGTGTTTAAGTGTCAGGTGTTGAGAAAACATTTTTAAAAAAGGCACTCTCAATATGCTTTGGTGGTAAGAAATTCTTTCTCCCCTCTAGAAATGTAGTTGTGCCTCTCTTTCCACATTTAGCAGTAGATTTGGCAGTTGTTCTGAATTCCATGTTCACAGTTTTATTTAGTCTTCATTTATTCAGAAAAATGTGTTATCCGCTAAGATCCCAAACAAGAAGTGCTGCATCACTACAGATAAACACTTGCTGGTGCAGTTTGTGGGCATGTTGAGGTGGATGCACTAAGATGGTGTCCTGACATAAACTCCATGTTTAATCAGTACATCAGCTTTATCACTTTTTCCATATGTTTTTACAAACCTTTAGTCAATCAGGATCTTAAGGTGCGTTCACACCAAATGTGAATAGGGTGTTCAGGGAAAGGAGGGACATTCGATAGAACCTTTTAAGCTGATTGGGTGAAGTGACACCTAGTGGCCACCTAACAAAGTTTGGTTTTAGCCAATAATTTTTAACACATGAATAAAGCACCAGATTCCATTAGAAACTACAACAGCTCCCACTTTTATGCACTTGCTGCTCCTCTAAGATGACGTGTATCATGATAAATAGCAGCAGCTGCATTTTCTCCTGACCTGCCATGTGTGGTCGTATACTCAGTAGGTCTTGTTTTCATTACAGCTATATGCCCTGCAGTAAACCAAAATGGTGCATTGACCATATGATGCATATTGGTTCCAAAAAAAGATTAAAAACCAATCCATTGGACTTTGTTTCCAAGTTTGAAGACACTCTCAACCCTTCTAGGTGTCATGATTTAATTAAAGATCTGACCCAAATGCAGAAAACCAAACAGACCAGGGAAAAGTTTAACAAGTTTATTTAGTAAAATTAGATGAGTCCAGTGCTGCTCTGAACACTGTTAAACCGGAACTGGAAAGTGAGGGGAAGACACTGTGGTTAGTTCAGGCTCAGTGGGAAATTTGATTTTTTGACTTGAAGAGGAGGAATAGGTTGCAGACTCACGTGTTCAGAAAAAAGTTTTTTTTTAATTAAATCCAGTCTGTGTGGGATGTTCCAGTGATTGTCTTGTTTGATGGAGGGCGGACAGGGTTTTCCCAGACTGCGGTTGTTCCTTGGTGAACGGAGAAGCTGACTGCCACTTAGATTTACTGCGGTACTTGAACAGGTTATTGTGGAGATGAATCCCCTGCTCAGAGAGAAGCACCAGAAAATCCTTGGGGGGGAAAGGTTGATCCAAACCACAAACTTGAATCCTCAGCTCAGTTTGGTTCTCATAAGATCCTTCCAGGGGAGAGAAGGTACGAAACATCCAGTTTGCAGGATGACTTCCTGCCGAGAGGCAAAGACAAAAACAGCGAGGTTAAAACTCAATTAGACAATAACTCAGTTTGACTCAGCAAAACTCAGCTTGGCT